AGCTCAGTATGTCAAAAGCTGACGAACGAGAGATTTGCTGCCTAAATGAGTAAGAAGTGGGCGAAAATGACCAAGTCTAAGCGTAATCATATTATCATTTAGTCTAGGCTAGACGGGAGTTATGTACAATCACACAATTTAAAGTACAGTAGTAGTAAAAATAATAAAATTTGATCAAAAACAAAGAAACCACGCGTGAAGGCTGATGCTCAGTTTTAATTTTTAAAAACATGTGCCTACAGCTCAGGTGATTCAATTTGTGTAGCAACGATTCCGACCTCAGCCAAGTGGAGCATGAGATAACATGGCTTTACAAAATAATACTCTCACAGACGTGCGGAAGCGATTCACCTCCTTGAATCGTGAAACGAGTAGAAAGATGGGGTTGGAGCACAAGAAAATGTACAACTAAACAGTAACCGGTGTTGAAATAGCTATTCCGTCTCTATTCTTACAAGATTAGACTCGTCGTCCGCATGAATCCACAGGACGAACTAAGGACTCAAAAGAGTGGAAAGCAGAGATGCCTAATAGACCATTTAGTAACGATGACGTCTCATAGCCCAACTATAATATTATCTACAGACATATCAAATCTTGGACAGCATAAGCAGTCTGTGTTTGTGTCGTGGAAAAGCTTACAAAAAGTGTGGAGCATTATTTAATTCCTGAGTGATTTAGGTTCATACTTAGACAAGAAAAGGATCAAAATCACCAAAATATGCCAGCCATGGATGAATTTTTTTATTCCAATTAAGTGAAAGAGAAGAGAAATAAACTATCGCAATAAAAGGAAATTACCAAGTCATCGGAGGGTACAGATGAAGGTGTCAATGATGTATTTTCCGTAGTCGGTGTTGAGAAGCCTACAACTGAGCGAATCCGCTCCCAGAGTGTAGTCTGGCTCTCAGAAGCATGAATATGATCAGAATCGGGGATAGTTGGTGGACTCTCAGCGTTGGGCAGCGAAGGCGATTGGGACATACGCAAGAATTCTGACTCACTGACACCAGTGTAGGCTGAC